AATGTTGTGGGGTTGTTAACCAATGTCATAAAACAGCATGTGTGTTACTGTTACCTGAGAAACTATCTGTTCTGTAAGCCTTCACCTGAAGTACAATAAAATATTTTTTAAAAAAAAAGAAAAGTGTGGCATACCGTTTACACTGTGATCCCCTGAGTTGCTGTATTTTTCATTTGTCCAGGATCCAGAGGCCATAGGGCAGTCACTGGAATTCTTCACTTCTTCTAGACTCATTTATTATCAAATTTAAGACTCATGTACCAATTATTTCCTTTCTCTTATCATTATCATTTTTTCTTTGCTTACAGATACTGTTTCCCATATATGTCCTCTTTTTAATCATAGTCACAGTTCTCACAATCAAGTGAATCAAGTGAGCACAATCTCTCCATCCAATCTATAAACTCTTTTCCAAATGGAACCTTCTTCATTGTCACTGATTGCAGTGGATTTTCTGTTTACCAGCACATTATAACCTGTTACCGTTGAGTTGATTCCAACTCATAGAGTACTGAGTAAAGATACTTCATTATTCACTACAATGTTTGATTCGTTAATTAATTTCTAGTTGGTTAATCAAACTATGGTTGTTAGCTGATTTCAATAATCTTTTCCTGATTAACCAAAGATTCACGATCACTGAATTCCATATTAAAGTCTTAACTCCTCTGAGAGAACTCTAGACTTCAAACAGGATTTCTAACACATGCAGAATACTCAAAAACAATTTCTGTGAAAGGATCCACAACAGCATTTTTGTAATAGCGTTACCTCTACCAAAGGATTAGTTATGCTGCAAATCAACTTTAAAAAAGATGTTTTAAACATATAATTATACCTTAAATTTGTAGAGAAACCACCACCAAAAGGAATCATGCAAAAGAGCAATAGAGGCTTCTGAGAGAAAATGAGTCTTCCAGATTTTAAAAATTTTCTCCTATGGAAGGAAAAAAAAGAAACATGGAGATCAAATTAAAATACATTATCAATCATGTTAATGCAAGAAGGCTTTATAAAAGCTACGTATTCAACCGTTATACACCAGCACTGTTCAACAGAAATTAAATGTGAGCCACATATGAAATTTTAAATGTTCTAGTCTCACATTAAAAAAGTAAAAGGTAAAATTAATTGTAATACCACTTTATTCAATCAAATATATTTAGAATATTATCATTTAAATAAAAATAAAAATTATTAATAAATATTTTAAAGTCTTTTGGTAATAAGTCTTCAAAATGTGGTATGTATTTTGTACTTAAAGCAAATTTCAATTTGAATACTAAATTTTCTTCACAAATATCAGATTAATATTTAGATTTCATACAATATACAACTAAAATTTTGTTCCAAGCATACTTAAATTTTTTTCATTAACTGAATAAAGTATTAGTTTTAAAATTTATATTTAAATTATTAAAAGAAAAAAGAAAAATTCAGCTCCTCAGTTACCCTAACCACATTTCAAAAGATCAGTAACCACATTTGGCTAGTAGGTATTATAATGAGAATGTGGGATAGACCAATAATAGCAAAAACATAGGATAAATGTCAAAACTTCCCCCCTTTCACATTAAAGACATATATCAACAATTAATCATGAAATTCTACCCCAGTGAGCCTTATGACCCTTGTTGTTGCTGTTAGATGCCAACAACTTGGCTCCAACTCATCGTGACTTTACGTATAACAGAAGAAAACGTTGCCCACTCCTGTGCCATCTCCATGATTTTTGGTATGTTTGAGCCCGTAGTGGAGGCTATGTTGTAACCACAGAATCTGCCTAAACATAGTGTTCTTCCTAAGCAGACTACTGATCAAAATTGGCATATAAGGTTAAATCTATTTACCATGACTACTTAAAAAAAAAAAACAAACAAAACCCATTACCGCCGAGTTGATTCCGACTCATAGCGACCCTACAGGACAGAGTAGAACTGTCCCATACAGTTTCCAAGGAGTGCCTGGTGGATTGACCTTTTGGTTAGCAGCCGTAGCTCTTAACCACTAGGCCACCATGACTGCTAGAGACTATAAATCTTGGTTTGAATGGGCATATTCAATAAATCATTTTATCTTCTTATTCACTAAAAATTTTTAAATGCCACATTCAGTAGCATTCAAGATTCCTTTTAATGAAATCCAGTAGGTATGAATTCCTGTTTCTTAAGCACAAGTCTGCAAAAAGGACACTGTGGAATCTTTTTTACTAAGAAATTTCTTTACCACGTATTTTGTGAGGCTACTCCTTTTCCATAGACCACTAACTATAGTATGGAGTGTACTGGTAGCAGCTTCAATTTAGATTTAGTACTTTTTAATTACAAAAAATATGTAAAGTATATATACATAAAGAAAAATAGAAAATTGAAATATGGGGGAAAAACAGAATACTTTTGTTTAAATTATTTGGAAATTTCAAGTAAACATGCTTTTTAGTGTAAACTAACTGTATATGATTGCTTTAATTCTCAGTTTTACTTATGTTTAGTAAACATAAGAAAACTTTTTTTTCAAAGACAACTCAAAATTCTTCAAAATGTATCTATATTTTGTCAAGGCAACCAAAAATGTCAAGATGAGCAGGCTAACATATCCTGAGCCACAGAGCAGGTGCAGGAAGGGAGAAATGTCTGTTACAAGCCAGCACGCAGCAGCAGCTCAGTCTCTGAAGGAGGCGGGTGGCACAAGGGTAATCAGTGTGTTAGACAGCACCAGTCTTTCCTGCCAGATTTAATGCCCGAAAGATCAGTATTGCTGAACACCTCATTTGTCATGTCTTTAAATAAAGGTTTGATTCATTAAGTCGTATTCTCTAAGTTTATCATACAATAAAAATAAAATAATGTTTACATACATCAAAGTTGTAGGCTTTCAAAATAAAAAGATAAATTCTTTCAGCATCCAAATGTCTGGGTAGTTGAGTAAGTTCATTTGCTTTAAATCCTGAAAAGGTGCAGCCCTAGAAAGAAGGAACACTCTTCTCAGTCGTCTCTATGACCACAGAAGAGAAACATTTAATTATAATTTCTAACACAAATAATTGACTGACTTCTTTTTACTAAACTAAATGAAAAATACTTATCCCACCTAAGAAAAATCTTCAAATTTTATGCTTCACTGAAATTAAGATATCTAGCATATTCATATGCCAAATCCAAAAACAAAACAAAATCATATTTGAGAACTAATTTTGACATTTACTCAAACGATCAAAAAGTTTAGCTAGTCCACAGAGAAATGGACTTTGCAGAAAGAGAAAGCTTCTATACCTGTTCCCAACTCTTTCTCCTCTGAAATCTCTACATATGTCTATATTTGCATCTATATTACCGCAAACACTCATTTAACCCATCATAATAATTTTGATATACAATTTGGAAGAACATAAATTTTAAATACCTCTATATTCTTCTTTGTCTCCATATCATCTGAAAGCTGGAAGACATTTAAAACAAAATTTGTAAAACTCTAAATTAAATAATTTTTATATTTCACAAATTTGTTCAGTTAATCAACATATATACATACTAACATCCTCCAAACCAAATGAAATCCATTGCCGTCGAGTCAATTCTGACTCACAGTGACTCTATAAGGCAGAGTAGAACTGCCCCACTGGGTTTCCAAGGAAAGCCTGGTGGATTCAAACTGCTGGTCTTTTGGTTAGCAGCTGAACTCTTAACCACTGTGCCACCAGGACTCTATCAACATCTTACTAAGGTCTAAATGACGTGTTAGATGCTGGTAATACAAAGATGGTCCTTACCCTCAAGCTGGTAATCATTCAAAAGGGGAGTCATACACATACATAAAACACAAAGTGATGAGGGCTATGATAGAAATATAAACAAACTACTTGTAAAAGTTTGGATTCTCTGGGAAATAGACTGAGGTAGAGTTTAGTGTCAGAACGTTTATTAGGGGGTTCCCTCAGGATCAATACTTGTGGAAGGAGGAGGCAAGACTGGGCAGTTAGAGAAGTCAAGTATGATACAGGCTCAATAGCCTCAACTGACCCCAAGAGAAACTCTGGAGCTGAAAGGGCCTGTCAGAGTTGTCCTGCTTTGGGCTGAAATAGCCAGTGCCTTTTACCCCCACTTTGATCAGGCACTGGATGTAGATGGTTTCTGTAAGGGCATAAACTTGGGAGAGGAAGTTCTCTGCAGCTGAGGCAACCCATAAAGAGGCTCACAGCTGTTGGGTGCCCCCTAACACCACTCGTAGCAGCTGGGGCAATAGTTTCTTCCTTGAAGGGGAAAGTGGGTGCTATATCTCCATGTTTACCATGCTGCTTTACACAGAAAAATAACTCTCTGGATATCTTAGTTTTTGACCATCTAGACATGTGAGTCTATATTTGGTGTTAAGTAATTTCCACAGACTCATCTCCCCAAGAAATAACAAAGTTTACAGGCAACTTTTACACACACACACACACACACACACATTATAGAGGAGAGTACATATGAAACAAAGTTGAAAGGATGATAAAAGCTTGCTAACAGAAAGAGGATCAGATTATTGGCATTAAAAATGTTGTGCAAACAAACTAAACAAAGACTATTTACAAAAAATGGGATGAATCAGGATTAGAAAGATGGGTATGTGCTTGAGAGCTGCAGACACAATTGGTTAATAAAGATGGAAGAAGCAAAGAAACCCCAGAAGTTTTCAAGAAAAAAGAGTAATAATAAGGTAAAAATCCAAATAGAACAATAGAAAATCAAACCCAGTAATATATTAAAAATACATAGTGACCGAAAAGTATATCCTAATAATACAACCTTCTGAAAGGTAATCTGCCATATTCACAGACTGAAGGATAAAAGTAGCTTCTGCTATCACCAAAGTGTACTCATTCCCTCTCCATTATTAAACCAAGGAGATTTTATTCAAATTTTGAGCACAATGTTATAGCTATGTCTAGCTGTCTATCATCTATATATAGTCACATCCATATCCATATTCACATCCATATCCACATCTACATCTATATATCTTTAATAAATTATAAATAAAAATAAATTTCCTTAGCCTGGTAAAAGATAGCTATCTAGTCATTTGAAATTATACTTAATTGAAAGTACAGCATCCATTCCATTAAAGTTAGAAACAAGACGAAAAAGCCCACAACAATGCTGAAAAATATCCACATAGCAACAATACATATACCAATAATAACCCATTGTTATGGATTGAATTATGTCCTCCCAAAATATATGTGTTGGAATCCTAACTCCTGTTTGAGGATGTAATCCCCTTCGGGAATACGGTTTTCTTTGTTATGTTGTTGTTCTGTGCTGTCCAGTCAATTCCGACTCACAGTGACCCTACTGGACAGAGTAGAACTGCCCCATAGGGTTACCAAAGAGAGGCTGGTGGATTCAAACCGCCAATCTTTTGGTTAGCAGCCTGAATGCTTAACCACTGCGCCACCAGGGCTCCATTTTGTAATGTTTGTTATGTTAGTGAGGCCATATCAGTGTAGGCTGTCTTAAACTTAATCAACTCTGACTTATAAAAAAGAGTAATTAGACACAGAATCAAGCACATACTGGGAAGACAGACAGAACCAAGGAACTCCCTGGCTACTGACAAGGATCCTTCCCCAGAGCTGACATCCTGAATTCAGACTTCTAGCCTTCTAAACTGAGAAAATAGATTTCTATTCTTTAAGCAGCTGTAGAAAACCAAGACACCCATTTAATAGCATAACGGAAGAACAATCCTATTGACATAAATAATACAAATTTAAAATAACTAAGAATAAACTGGAGTTCCTGGATGGTGGCAGATGGTTAAGTGCTGACTACTAGCTGGGAAGGTTGGTGGTTCAAACCCACCCAGAGGTGCATCTGAAGACAGGCCTGGTAATCTGCATCTGAAAGGTCACAGCCTTGAAAATTCTCTGGAGCAGTTCTACTCTGTACACATGGGTTGTCATGAGTTGGAATCAACTTGATGGCAATGAAAAACAACAACAATAAATTTAACAGGGAATGTGCAGAATTTACAGGGAGAAAATGACACAAAATTTACTGATGGACCTAAAATAAGATTCTTACATTTCACTCTCTTACATAAAAATAAACGCTAGGTGAATTAAAGAATTAAATGCAAAAAAATAAAATCTGTAAGAATAATACAAGAGAACACATGTGAATACATCTATAACCATGTGATAAAGAAAATTTGCTTAATAATCATGGTACTAAAGACAGAAAAATTCCATAAAAACTGTGTATCTATCAAAACATAAAATTATATATAACAAAAGTGAAACTGGTTAAATGTTTATAATGAATATTACTGAGAAGAGTTAATTTTTTTAAAACATAAGGGCTCTTATTAAAAAAAGGAACACTTCAAAAATAATAGCCAAAATTTATAAATAAGCAATTCTAAATAATAAAAAGTACAAAAGCAAATAAAATATAAAAATCACATCACTAGTACAAGCATGCAATTTTTAACATTTTTTTTTAATACAAGCGTTAAACATTGGAAACTCTGGTGGCACAGTGGTTAAGAGTTCGGCTGCTAACCAAAAGGTCAGCAGTTTGAATCCACCAGGCACTCATTGGAAACCCTATGGGGCAGTTCTACTCTGTCCTATAGAGTCGCTATGAGTCAGAAATGACTCGACAGCAATGGGTTTGGTTTGGGTTTTTGGTATAAACATTTAAAAATATAATGATATGTAATGTTGGCAAGGGAATAGGTAAGGGATCAATCACAAACGCTACTGTTACAAATATAAATTGACGTCACCTTTCTAGAGAACAATATGACAATCTTTATCAAAATTCTTATAATTTTATATCTCCTTTCCCATGTGGTTCCACTTCTAGAAATTTATCTTAAGAAAATAATCGTGGATAAGCACAATCTTTAGCTCTAATTTGCTCACAAAAGCCATGTAAATAATAGTGAATAATGAAAACAAACCTTAGTGTTCTACAAAAGGGCTATTACACTAGTTTATTTATGAAACATAAATTTAAAAAATTATGTAGAGTAATATTTGTGGATGAAAAATTTCATAACATTTAATGGATTAGAAAAAGCATTATAATATTTTCTGTGAAAATATAAATTTTCAAGGAAGATAAAACATAAATACTATACCATAATCTTCTTTTTCTTATGGTACTTCTTTATAAAATTCTTGTGTCTTTTCAATTGTCCAGAAGAAACTTTAAAAAAATGAAAAGTCACAACATATACATAAAAAAATGAAGAAAAGTTTAAATACTTAAATATATATGAAATTACTAAACGATATCAAATAGCTATTTCGATAAGCCTAATGCTAGACACACACATACTTGAATGAATCACTGGAACTATTGTATGATACTTTGTTTCCTTTTGTTTTTCTGAAATGTCATGTTCCAATTAAAATGTCTTTTGTTTTTGTTAGGTGCTGTCAAGTTGGTTATGACTCACAGTGACGCTATGTACAACAGATGAAACACTGGCTGGTTCTGAGCCATACTCAACAATCTTTGTTATGATTGAGCTCATTGTTGCAGCCACTGTGTCAATCCATTCGTTTAGGGTCTTCCTCTTTTTCACTGACCCTCTACTTTACCAAGCATGATGTCCTTCTCCAGGGACTGGTCCCTCTTGATAACATATCTAAGTATGTGAGATGTAGTCTTGCCATCCTTGCATCTAAGGAACATTCTGGCTGTACTTCTTCCAAGACAGATTTGTTTGTTCTTCTGGAAGACCATGGCATGTTCAATATTGTCATCAACACCATAATTAAAAGGCATCAATTCTTTTTCTATCTTCATTATTCATTGGCCAGCTTTCACATGCATATGAGGTGACTGAAAAAACCATGGTTTAGGTCAGGCACACCCTACTCCTTAAAGTGACATCTTTGCTTTTTAACACTTTAAAGACGTCTATTGCAGCAGATTTGCTCAATGCAATGTGTTGTTTGATTTCTTGGCTGCTGCTTCCATGGGCGTTGATTGTGGGTCCAAGTAAAACGAAATCCTTGACAACACTCAATCTTTTCTCCGTTTATCATGATGTTGCTTATTGGTCCAGCTGTGAGGACTTTTGTCTTCTTTATGTTGAGGTGTAATCCATACTGAGGCTGTGTGGTCTCTGATCTTCATCAGTAAGTCCTTCAAGTTGTCTTCACTTTCAGCAAGTGAGATTGTGTCATCTGCATAATGCAGGTTGTTAATGAGTCTTCCACCTATTCCTGATGCCCTGCTTCTCTTCATATACTCTAGCTTCTCAGATCATTTGCTCAGCATACAGACTGAATAAGTGCGGTGAAATATACAACCCTGATATACACCTTTCTTGACTTTAAATCATGCAGTATCCCCTTGTTGTGTTTGAACAACTGCTTCTTGGTCTAAGTACAGGTTCCTCATGAGCACAATTAAGTGTTTTGGAATTCCCATTCTTCACAGTGTTAGCCATAATTTGTTATGATCCACACAGTTGAATGCAAAAAAAAAAAAAATCAATTACATGGAAACTAAATAACACTCTGCTTACAAACCCCTGGGTAATAGAAGAAATCAGAGATGGAATAAAAAAATTCCTAGAATCAAACGAGAATGAAAACACATCATACTAAAACCTTTGGGACACAGCAAAGGCAGTCCTCAGAGGACAATTTATAGCAATAGAGGCACACATCAAATAAGAAAGGGACAAAATCAAAACATTAACTACATAACTCGAACAAATAGAAAGACAACAGTAAAAAAGCCCACAGCCACCAGAAAAAAGGAAATAATAAAGATCAGAGCAAAAATAAATGAAATAGAGGATAGAAAAACAATAGAAAGAATCAACAAAACCAAAAGTTGGTTCTCTGAACGGGTCAACAAAATCAACCAATCACTGGCCAAACTGACAAAAGAAAAACAGGAGAGGACACAAATAACCCAAAAAAAGAAATGAAATGGGGGACATTACAACAAACCCAACCAAAATAAAAAGGATCATATAACAAGAGTATTATGAAAAACTATACTCCAACAAATTTGAAAACCTAGAGGAAATGGATAAATTTCTAGAAACACACTACCTACCCAAACTATCATGAAGTGATGTTGAAAATCTGAACAGACTCATAACAAGAGAAGAGATTGAAAAGGCAATTTAAAAAACTCCCAACAAAAAAAGCCCTGGCCCATATGGCCATCACTGGAGAATACTACCAAACATTCAGAGAAGAGCTTACACCAGTACTACTCAAATTATTTCAGAACATAGAAAAGGAAACGACACTTCCGAATTCATTCCATGAAGCCAGCAAAACCCTGACACCAAAACTAGGCAAAGACACCACAAAAAAAAGAAAATTACTGACCAATATTTCCCTTGAATATAGATGCAAAAATTCTCAACAAAATTCTAGCCAACGGAATTCAGCATTATATCAAAAAAATAATACATCACAACCAAGTAGGATTCATACCATGCACGCAAGGATGGTTCAACATTAGAAAATCAATCAATGTAATCCTCCACATAAATAAAAAGAAAGAAACGAATCACATGATCATTTCCATTGACGCAAAAAACGCATTTAACAAAGTCCAACAACCATTCCTGATAAAAACTCTCAATAAAACAGGTATAGAAGGGAAATTTCTCAACATAATAAAGGGCATCTATGCAAAAACAACAGCCAACATCATACTTAATGGAAAGAGGCCGAAAACATTTCCCTTGAGAACAGGAACAAGACAAGGATGCCCTTTATCACCACTCCTATTTAACATTGTGCTGGAAGTCCCAGCTAGAGCAATAAGGCAAGAAAAAGAAATAAAGGGCATCTAAATTGGTAATGAAGAAGTCAGAATGTCCCTATTTGCAGATGATATGATGCTATACTCAGAAAACCCAAAAGACTCCATGAGAAAACTACTGGAACTAATAGAAAGATTCAGCAGAGTAGCAGGATACAAGATAAACATACAAAAATCAGTTGGATTCATATACACCAATAAAGAGAATGATGAAACGGAAATCAGGAAAACAATACCATTTATAATAGCCCCTAAAAACTGAAATATTTGGGAATAAATCTAAACAGGGATGTAAAAAACCTATACAAAGAAAAATACAAAACACTACAACAAGAAACCAAAAGTGATCTACATAAATGGAAAAACAGGGAGGTGGGGCCAAGATAGCCGAGTAGTCATATGCTTCCAATGGACCCTCTTACAACAAAGACCCAAAAAAACAAGTGAATCAATTATATATGGCAATCTAGGAGCCCTTAACATCAAAGCAGAGTTGAGGAACTGGACTGAGTGGCAGGCGGAGGGAGAGACAGTTCGAAAGTAGTGAGGAGTTGCCAGACATTACGTGGTGAGAGCCTGAGCCCTTCAGGCCTCATTAGCTCGGGGATGAGCAGTGAGCCAGTTAAGCTGCAGTGCTCTGGAGGCGCGATTTCCACACAGGGAGAGACTCAGCGCCAGAGAGTCTACATGGTCACCGAGAACCAGTGAGAAGCAGCCCTGGATCCAAGAAAGACAAGCAGCTGCATACAGCCTACTGTGAGGATCAAAAACACCCCCTTCAGGGAAAAACCTCTCTCACATTTACCTCCCTGCTCCCTGCTCTGCACTGCATTCCGGACTGGCTTCAGCAATCGCCAAGTCCGGTGGGCTGGAAGTAGGATCTGTCACAAGCCCAGAGCCATTCTCCTGGCCTTGGAGAGTGAACAAATTAACAAACGGGGAAAAAATAAACTTTCAGCTGTGTTCATAGGAACACAGGGTAGGCAAGGATCCTTTGCCTAGGCACAGGCATAAGGGATCTATGCCTTTCCCCCTGCATAGACTTGTGTGGGGCCATCTCAACAGCGTAAGCCCTCATTACCGCAGTACAACAGGGTATATACAGGAAGTCTAACTTGAACTGTTTCAGCTGTGAAGTGGCAGGTTCTTGACATTTGACACTGCTCTGGCCATTAAGCAGGGTCTTCACCTGCTTCATCAGGGGCCTGAGGACTGGTGCCTCCACCCACGCCACCTAGCCACCTGCGATAGAGGCCATGAATAAGAGGTGCCCCCGAGTCCTTACAGTCAACAGCATTAGGTGTTCACAGTCTGGCTGCAAAACCCACCCACCTTTGTGCTCTAGGGAACAGGGACACGCCTTCCTCCTGGACACTCAGGGGCGGCTGTCAGCCCCCTGCCTTGCTCAGAGTGTGTCCCCCTGCTGCAGCCAGATGCTTGTGCCTGCACCAATCAACCATGCCTGTCTAGGACTGTAAGTGAGAGTCTAAACCACACACTTGGTGGCTATCTACCTGGGCATCTGAGCTGAATCCATACAAGAGGAGTGGGCAGATTCCTGAGCTCACATACCTAATAACAGATCTAACCAACTGGTGACAGGACATTAGAGCTTCAAAGGTGCCAATAAACTACCTCATACGAGCAGCCTATTTGGGCATATCAAAACAAAAAAAAGAAGCTAGGACACAGTAAGCAAACATTAAATAAAAAATATAATAACTTATCGATGGCTCGGAGACAACAGTCAACATCAAATCACAAAAAGAGGCAAGCTCTCAAAATAAAGAATCTAGAAATTTTCCAGACAAGGAAAATTTCTTGGAATTACCGTAGGCAGAACACAAAAGACTAATACACAGAACTCTTCAAGAAATTAGGAAGGAAATAAAGCAAAATGCAGAACATGCAATAGAGGAAATTAAAAAGATTAGAGCGGAGCATAATAACAAATTTAACAGGCTGCAAGAATCCACAGAGAGACAGCAATCAGAAATCCAGAAGATTAACAATAAAATGTCAGAATTAGATAACTCAATAGAAAGTCATAGGAGCAGAACTGAGGCAATAGAAGTCAGTATTAGTGAGACTGAAGATAAAGCACTTGATACCAACTTGTTTGATGAAAAATCAGTTAAAAGGATTTAAAAAAATGAAGAAACGCTAAGAATTACGTGCGATTCTATCAAGAGGAATAACCTACGAGTGATTGGAGTACCAGAACGGGGTGGGGGGGGGATAACAGAAAATACAGACAGAATTGTTGAAGATTTGTGGTGAACACTTCCCTGACATCATGAAAGATGAGAAGCTATCTATCCAAGATGCTCACTGAACCTCACATAAGATAGATCCCAAAAGAAAGTCACCAAGACATATCATAATCAAACTTCCTGAAACCA